ACCAGCTGATTGAATGAGTCAGTGAGGAGTGTGGAATCGGTATTTCTGTAATTCAAGTTTACACTTTTTCTAACTGAATACTGAAAATTTGCTAGTACAGTCACGAGTTCAATATAGAATAAATACCTGATACATTGGGAATAATAAAAATATCAAAACAAAGCATAACTAACACAAGTTATTCAATCTCCGCAGAGTACGGCTAATCCGCTTGGAGTTGCACTCCAGATTAGATGCAGTGTGGAAATATTTGATCATGGAATTTGGATGGAAAGGTAGATTGGTCATATTATTTTGGCGAGCACCGTTTTCTGCAAACAGTGCTTTTCAGAAAATTTTGTCAGGTTGAATTTTGAATTGATAACGAACAGTATTGAGATTTTCTGACTGGCAATCCCAAATTACCTGCAAGAAGTTATTGAGAGCAGGATTGACCTGTTGTATATCTAGCTTTTACCTCTTATAATCGAATATCACATAAAGCTAAGCTCGATCGGGCAATTCGATTTTACTCAAGGCACTGCCTAGAATAGTGTTGGGCCATTTCAACCGAGGAATCATGGTTCAGTTTAAGGTTCAAAGTCTGAAGAACAAGATCGATGTGTGAAAGTGTTTTCGGCATGAAATCTATCAATATCATGCGTTGGATACAATACACAGGGGGACACATATTTTGGGCATTTCACCCGCAAGTGACCATAACCACATATATGTCAGAGGGAAACAAAAGTGGCGTCATTCAGTTGAGATCGGCTCGCTAATGAGCCGAAGGGCATGGGTCAGAAAACCAGTTTCACAATTTATGGCAATTAAATAATAAAGGAGTTCGAGTGACTGAACTAGTGTTTACAGCGAGTAACGTTTGAGGCAGGATAGACGGGTCCACGTTTTCTCGGTTACTTCTAGGACACGAAGCATAACCACTTTGCTGTGGGGAGACTGTAACTGAGAGATTATACAGAATACAGAATGGCAGTTCGTCTGCTGGGGCCGGGGAAACCTGGTGCCATTCCGCTCACGGGAAAATTATAGAACGGTTCCTTTATTACAAAGAATTTGCTGGGTGCAGTCTGCAATCCGACGCGAGAGAAATACATACATCGAATACGGTGAGTCGCTTGCCCAGTCATAACCGGTTGCAGTGGATACACGTTTTAATGAATGGTGTATTCGAAACAGAACACTGCTGTCATCTTTGACCTTGGAAACTTGCTCGGTGAAATTTCTTATATTTTTCAGGATCCTGACCTTCATCCTAGTCTTAAAGGACTCATGTTCACTGATGAATCCATCCTGGGGTGGTGGTGACGTAGTGGTTTAGTCACTGTCACTGGTGTGTTTTGGACCAAGGTTCGAATTGCGCCACTGCCACCCAAAATTTGGTGGTAGACAGTTTTGCTGTTGTTCAGTTCAACACCATGCCTAATCTAACGGGGTATTATGTGGTTCACCAAATCCGGTCCTGGGGCTTAGTTTTCCGACACTGGACAGCAGGTCTTCGTGAATATGGGATCGATTCTATTTGCTGTTCATCACACAAGGTTGTGTAATAATAAATACCAGTTATAGTCTATATGTCTTTAACTTTTCACCTCAATTGATGAAGTGAGCTCACTATCCCAGTTTTTTGTCATAAATTGAGGTTGAATACGCTAGCCTATCAATTAGTAACTTGTAGTAACGTACGTCGTCGCAAAAAATTCCCTTGATTGGATTTTAAATGTTTGACTGTGAATCTTAGAAACCGTGAATTCGATGATAGACTCATCGGACTAGTAGGATAATACGGAACAGGGTCAGCGAATTGGAAACAAACAAACTGTTGACCTTTGTCTGTTCAGTTGATTGCTACATGAGACAGTATATAGACGAGGTCATCTAGTGAAACAAATACGCGCAGTCTACCGGAAATAGTCTATCCTAAATGCTGAAATTATGCTTTAATTGCACATCCAGATGTGTGATCTTGTTGAGCGATTTTATCGGCTACCAGTTGGATGATGGATAGTGTGGGATCTATGGCATCAGGGATAAGGACTGTCATAGACCAAGGTAGTATTCCACTTGGCCCCGAAGATCTAAAAATGGGTAAACAATTACATCAATGCGATCAATGTTGCATTCATTCGTGACCGTGATTGCTGCTTATCAGTTAATTATTTTGAGCATTAACACATGACGCAGACCGCTGACTGGAATCAGAGATAAAAATGAATTCATGAGAAGCTTATGAGCAGTTAGTAGTGCGAGTAGAGAGAGAGCTCATGCGCCATGGGAGATCGCAAACGAATTATAATAAAAGTATTCTCAACGAAGAGAAACTTAGCTCAAGTGAATGAGAAAAATGAAGTCCAGTAATTTCTGCTTCAAAGCGATTGTCGAAAATGTGACTATAACGAATTAAATAAACCGATGTGCTAAGCATTAAATAAACAACTAGGATCGATAAATTAAATTAGGAAGCCCTCATATGCCAGTCTGTTTGACCACCATCAATCAATTCATGAGTAGGAGACGGAGGACACAAACGGGACCGACCATCAATCATACCAAACCTTTCCGATTGACACTCAATTCCAAAAGAACACTGTAAGTGATTTATTAAACGGGAACTTACCCCAATGGCAGAAATCTGATGAGATGACAAACACATTGTCCGGATCATTCAGATAAGGAGCAAATATCCTGCCATAAACAGCCTCTCGCTCGAGGTTGAGTAAACCGACCAGTACCGGGACAATGGTGAACGAACCACGTTTACTGACAAAAAGGTTAACGGAGGAGAAACGGATATGGAGATTCGTGAAGTGTGAGAGAATTCGAGTGGTTTGATAAACAAGCACAATGATACATCGATGGTTACAAGAATTGCAGGATGGAATTAAGAAAAAGTCGCAAACCAGAGAACTCATAAGGATTGTCTTGATGGGCTGAAAGAGGCCTCAAGATTACTTTCATTTCAATTTTTTCTTTCTATATTTTTTACATTCTACATAGGTGGGGGAACATATAGGCACGAACCAATTTGTGGGTGATACACTTAAAAGTGGTTGGAAAAATGGAAATCGGAAGAGTGCTCCACATTTTCACAGTCCCGCGGCAAACGAGGACTGGAGGATACAAATCCGACAACTGAGGACAAGAGCCCGATAAGAGTGACTTTACCTTTGAGAACGAGCTGGATGAGAAAAGGAAAGCGGAACCGTTGAAGATAGTTCAGAAGAACAGTCACTAAAATAGTAACGGTAGAAAAGAGTTAACGAATCAACTGCGCGGTGATGCCATATTGCTGGGCTATTGTGCTTCCGGATGGTTTGTTACGTTCAGCTATTGAGGACAAGACAGTCTGGCTTGATGGATTTGATGTATTTCGGGATGATCGGAATGTGAACTTAATTAATAGAGGTGGTGGAGTGGTTACCTTCATCAGCTGTAGCAATTCCCAACTTCCGTTTCATTTTAATATCAGTAAATTCTCTGCATTCTCGTTCAATTTAAGTCTGTTTTCTCATTTCATCATATTCCATGAGCAAACGTTTGCATTACCCGACATCCAACTATTTGTCGACTCTCTTCACACAAATCGTGACAGGCTTGNGATTTTAACCATTTCGATATATCTTTTTTAAAGACATTAGATTTGGTTAATCTGGTGTATTTTCCCACTCGTTTGAGAGTCCTTTTTTAAGATCTCAAAAGTCATTTCTCATATCAAAACGAGTTTCTGTTACCATGTCTGACCACCCCATGTCAATCATAACTTTGTCTGCTAGTATGCAGACAATGTGGCCACTGGGTCCCTCTGATAACGATACCTGTTTCCGCCAACTTCAGGACAATTTAAACGACATCTTTAATTCGTTTCTGGTGCGATCCATTGCGCTGTTTTCTAAATGTTTGACATTCCTTTCAACCTTAAATCCGATCTCCGTGATCGCATTTGTCTTATTGACCTATCTGACCTAGTTGTTAACCGCAGCAGTATTCCTAAAGCTGACTCTGTCATGCTATCCAACAATCCCTCCGGGACTAGCGATGTAGAGAATGTTTACACAAGGGTTCATAAACAATATTTTTACGCTTTCGGCGTTATGGAAGTTGCTGTAGTCACATGCATTCTTCTTCATCCGCTAGATTCCACTGTGCTTTCCCAGGCTTGAAATAAAACGATTTCATATCACTTGGCAGATCCACGAAACTTATGTCCGGAAATGGTGGTATAGCCAGAAATGTCCCCGTTAATGTTACTGAGTGCAACCATATCGATGCATGTGAAAGAACTGCTAATAAAATCTGCAACAATGAACGTTATTGATTGTGCAATGAACTTCTTCAATCAGTGGCAAACCCTCGCACCCGTTCCCTTCATAGGCGTCTCCCTGAACGCACCACCACAATGTCTTCTGTTATCTTATCTAGGTGAACCCGGAACCATTCATTACAGATCTGGTGGGACATCTTTCAGTTCGTTTTTTTAAACTATTATTAACCGTTTGTCGTTCGCAGTGTGTTATCATTTCTTCTCCCTTTCGACGCTCAAAGCGCTGTTTTTCTGTCTACATGATATTCTTGTGAAAATTGCAGAAAACCCACCCTCCGTGTGCAGAAAGCTTACTCAGACATGATTGGAGAGAGTCTGTGTATCAGAGCTGGGCTCAAGTTGAGCAGAAATTCGCGTTAGTGATCTGTAATTTCAACTGCTGATTGTTCCTGCAATATTATTATGTTTCACACACGTTTGAGTTCAAACCGTGTGATAAACAAATAAAATAATCGTTATGGAAAGATAATGCTACATTATATGCTTGTGGACGAAATACCGCCCGGTTGCCCAGGCCTAAGCAGGAGAATTTCCATGGGGAATTCACAACCAAAATCTTCGACTAGCCAAATTCTTACCCGCAAGGCAACGGGGTGGTGTGTGGAAAACGAAGTTCATTGGGGGCTCGGTGTCCAGTTCATAGGATCATACACTCTTTGGACGGGGTCAAACGTCCAGCGTGCCTAATACACAGATCACAGAATTAAATCTTTAAATTACCAACAGCTTAGTTATTCTATTTTTGTGGTATAGGCAGAATACACAAAAGAATGCATGCAAAAGATTGACCCGGTGCTACGTCTTTGGTGTGTTTTGAATCATGGTTGTTCTGGTATTTCCGTTAGGCAGTGAACAGTATTGGCATACAATGGCGCTTTTTTAATCAACCACACATTGAAAATCCGCTCCTAGTGTTACCAATCCACAAGACAGTGTTGGGATGGGAAGAATTGTTTATTACGAACAACGGTAAGGGTATCGATAAACTGGCATACAAACGACAAAATGTCTCATTTGGACCCGGAATTCAAAGCCCGGACGGGATGGTAGATACGCACTACTGATGAGCTCTAATAAGAGCGAAACTGGAATTTAGTGCTTCCGGGTATGGAAGAGCTGAGCAATGTGCGTGAATGTGAAGTCTGAAGGATGGCCAGTTCTAATCGATCAACCAATATCAATTATCCCACAACACTACTCACAAGTAATTGTGAGTTAAATGCGAATCATTTGGAACAGGTCATCATAGTTCCCACATGCGTTCAGGATAATTAATGGAACGGTCCGACAGTAGATGCACGTTTTCTGTAATTGCAAAAGTAAATCGTTCAATCCATTCGTGAATTCTGTGAAAATCCAATAACCGCCTTTTGGTGCATGTAAACTACTCAAATACGTGAGCAGCATGTCACAACACTAGTGCAACCCAGCACAACACATATGGTCACTACTCGGTTTCCATGAGCACATAGCTCTAGCAGTCCTCGGCGTCAGTCAGCTTCTGGATTTTTCTAATGAACTAGATTACGAAAGGATTCGGAAATTTAGATCTTTATGACAAACCTTATTGGTCCTGGACAACAGTGATGCATTCAACCGACGAAATTTTAGAGTACAAGAGATTAGAAAAATTATTTTTTAGTCGAAGTATAAGGGAAAATATTGTTAAGTTTCTATTACACATCTAAGTGTGATGAACAGCAGACGGAGTAAACCCCATAGTCACGAGGACCTGTAATTCAGTGGAGGAAACCGACAGCCTAAGCCCCGGACTTGGAGTGGCGAACCACAGAAGGCCCCGATAGGTTAGGTGTGGTATGACAACAGAGCTACCTACCACCAAAGTCGGGTGGCGGACAGTCAAATGTCACCACCTGGAAACGGCTATCCGGAATTTCAAGTGATCATGTATAATGAGGTGCCGCGGTACAGATTAGGCGAAAATACCAGTCTGGTGAAATAAGGATTGACTGGTGGGAAAAAGCAGAAAAAGAATGACAAAACTGTGATAAAAAGTCGATTATCAAAAGATCAATGGCAAGCAGTGAACGATGGGGGTGATCAACGACATCGAGTTCAATGTT